GCATAATGAGATTATTGAACAAATTTGGAATTTAAAAAATTATTCCTTGAGTAAATGTAAGTTCCCTCCAAATAAGGATTGACATTAAAGCTCACATGGGTTCTTACTCATCTCCACTATTCATGTCAAGCACTAAATGTGAACTCAATCCGTAAATTGCCAAAATTACGAGTTCATGGTGCACTTATGGTTGAGTTCAAAAGCAAACAAGTATGTGACACTTTTAGCAATAGGATAAACTTCTATAATTTGCTCATGTATTCAAAGTTCAAAATGAGGATCAAGTAATCACAAATCCCATAACAAATAGGGTAGGAGAATATAGTTCAATATTGGATATTTTTCACCAAAAATTGTCCAAAATTTTCAAAATTTTTACATTTCCAACTATTATGTACAAAAAATGGTGGAACATATAAATGGCGCACCTCAGCCCCAACTTGAACCATGCATTGTCCTCAATGCACAAGGAATCATGCAATGAGAAAAATGAAGTAACATGGGAAATAAGATATCCCATTTTTTTTCTTTTTCTTTTATCTTTTTTTTTTAATATTTTTTTTGTATACACATTAAAGGGAAAACGAAAAAGTTTGTTTACACCCCCCAACTTAAACTCGCACATGATACCAAATGAGATTTGCTATAATGATGCTCAAAGTGAAATGAGTCCAAATTGGGAAGGGGTAAACTACCTTCATCCTAAAATCTACACTACAACACTATAAAATAAAAATATAATAATAAAACAAATCTAACTGCTATGTACACGGAAACAAAACAAAAAGGGCACATGTCAATTCGGTTTCAATTTTGATATGAGCTTGCGCCCGTTGATTTTTTTGATTAAAAAATTTTTTTGTTGTATAAATGTCCTTCCTAACCCATCTATCCAAACATAGAAAGGATAACGATTCAAAAATCTCAACCAAATAGATGTGTAGGCAAGTTTATGCAATTCCAACAATGGAGTATACAATTTCTCTTTAAAAGTTTCTATGCTTAACTCTATTTCAATGCCCTCTCTAAGTTGAGAAATGTGAATCTCAGCACCACTCTTAGATGAAAAAATGACCTTGGGCTCATTAGCCTCATATGAGATAATATCATCATTAAATGTTTCACAGTCAAGAGTGGTGGGNAGCAATAGGATAAACTTCTATAATTTGCTCATGTATTCAAAGTTCAAAATGAGGATCAAGTAATCACAAATCCCATAACAAATAGGGTAGGGGAATATAGTTCAATATTGGATATTTTTCACCAAAAATTGTCCAAAATTTTCAAAATTTTTACATTTCCAACTATTATGTACAAAAAATGGTGGAACATATAAATGGCGCACCTCAGCCCCAACTTGAACCATGCATTGTCCTCAATGCACAAGGAATCATGCAATGAGAAAAATGAAGTAACATGGGAAATAAGATATCCCATTTTTTTTCTTTTTCTTTTATCTTTTTTTTTTAATATTTTTTTTGTATACACATTAAAGGGAAAACGAAAAAGTTTGTTTACACCCCCCAACTTAAACTCGCACATGATACCAAATGAGATTTGCTATAATGATGCTCAAAGTGAAATGAGTCCAAATTGGGAAGGGGTAAACTACCTTCATCCTAAAATCTACACTACAACACTATAAAATAAAAATATAATAATAAAACAAATCTAACTGCTATGTACACGGAAACAAAACAAAAAGGGCACATGTCAATTCGGTTTCAATTTTGATATGAGCTTGCGCCCGTTGATTTTTTTGATTAAAAAATTTTTTTGTTGTATAAATGTCCTTCCTAACCCATCTATCCAAACATAGAAAGGATAACGATTCAAAAATCTCAACCAAATAGATGTGTAGGCAAGTTTATGCAATTCCAACAATGGAGTATACAATTTCTCTTTAAAAGTTTCTATGCTTAACTCTATTTCAATGCCCTCTCTAAGTTGAGAAATGTGAATCTCAGCACCACTCTTAGATGAAAAAATGACCTTGGGCTCATTAGCCTCATATGAGATAATATCATCATTAAATGTTTCACAGTCAAGAGTGGTGGGAGATTAAACATCGTTATGCATTTTATTGAGATGATCATTCTCAATACATTAACTATGCTTAAGATGTTGTTCTTCACACATAGTACTTATAGCATGAGTCAATGTAATAAGGTATTGGGTTATTTGGGCATTAACTTCCATTTGGTATTGCATAAAATCGTACAAAATAATTTTTAATTCTTCTTCGGTTGAGTCCCCATATGTTGGATAGTGGTAAAATTCATTTGGTGGTGTGAGATCAGATGAAAAATTATAAGGTTCATTCTCCCGACCATAACTCGATGTAACATAGTGGTCAGGGTAAAAGTTTTTGGAGGTCAAAATTGGATTTGAACCTTCACATGTAAAGTATTGAACTGTATAATTTATGAGCACTTACTAGTGATGTGCCCATACTCATCACATATCTCACACACATTTTCAAAATTTTGAGTATTTGATACATTTTTATAAAAATTATAAGACAATACATAAAACACAAGCTATTTACAAACTATTTACAAAAGAGACAACATACCTTGGCCCGTGATGAAAATCATGAGACTTACCTATGCCGCCTAAAATCACCTTTGAACTCGACACTTAACCTTCCCCAGCAATGACGCCAAAAATGCTTGATGTTTTTCGTTGTATTCCCTAGTCTCCTAACATCATCCCTCAATGTGTGTATGACTTATAGGAATGAGGGAGTGTCACTCTCCCTCGGAATGATGCAAGAGATGGGACAATGGAATGATGGATGAATGAAATGTGTGTGTGAACAAAAGTGTTCCCCAAGCCCAAGGAGTCTTTTACTTGTCATGTTTTACTTGGAAAAGTATTTCAAGATCGTCTCCTCAGGGAAGGAAAGTTCAAGTGTGGTGAAGGTGATTTTGTAAAAAATGGAAAAGTGTACAATCTTTTGAGTTTTGAGTTTGGTGATTTGTGTTTTTGATGAAAATAAAATAAAATAAGTGTTGGCTAATCCAAAGAGGTCATTCCAATGGGAATACCAACTCANTGAGTTTGGTGATTTGTGTTTTTGATGAAAATGAAATAAAATAAGTGTTGGCTAATCCAAAGAGGTCATTCCAATGGGAATACCAACTCAACTCGAAATCTTTCTCCAATGGTGCTTAGAGGAACGATTGATTCATGGGAAGCTAGGGACGAGATGGAGGTGAGGATCCAAGCATAACCCGTGACTAGGCCTACGGGATATCAAAGACTCACAACCGCATCCACTCTCAACCCAGTCAAACCGGACCATCGTACACCGAGAAGAGGGAAGAAAATGAGTTGAAATGAAAAATCCAAGAGGAGGTCTCCCTTGAATTAGCCAACTAGAAATCTAGCTACTCATGAAAGCAAAAAAGAAATGTATAATGCAAAGAGACATAATGAAGAAATGAAGATTGAAACTTAACTTAAAGCAAGAAAACTTGAACTATAAAGAAAGAAATATGATACCCATTTTAAAGCATGAAATGAAGAAAACTTAACATAACAATGGTGAAATGTAAAATGTAAGACTAAACTTGAAATAAATAACATTCAGGTGCAAGAGTTAAGGATTACAAGAAATTTAAAGCTTACTACAACTGAAATGGAAAGGAAAATGCAAAAACATAAGCATTCTATCTGCTATTCCTCATCTTTCTCCTTGGAGCTTTCTAAGCTTAGGTAGCCACACCCCAAAATCTTATGGAATGCTGAATATATGGTGAAAAAGCCTTCCATTTTCGTCTATAGGGTTCTCTAGCATGTGTGTGTAGGCTTCCCATCAATGGTAGGTGAGTTAATGGCTTTGGACAGGCTAGGACAAGCCTAGCCTACACCCATCATGGCTGCCCCATTCTCTCCCATCCTCCTTAATGACATTGCCTCCAAAGTCTTCAACTAGGGTGTAGGAGGCATTGAAATGTGTAAGTGATGTCAGAGGACAAGTGGAAGAATCAATGATGGGACCCCCAAGCAAGTGGAACATAATTTGTAGGCATTTTGGGCAGTGTACCGGTATTGCGTACCGGTACGGCGAATACCAGAAACTAAAGCGTACTGGTACGATATAATGTGGACCAGTTTTTGTAGAATTGTCATAACTTTTGATCCAACTGTCCAATTGAGCTGAACTTTTGATGCAATATAGAAGACATCCAGATCTACAACTTTCATGTTTTAAACTTCTTCAGATTCGAAGTAGATATGGTCAAAAGGAGGAAAAACTGTGGTATTGCAACAAAATGGTGTGGGTGTTGGTGCCTATGTTGCCAAGCACCGATACCTCCTTGATTTCTTTCACTTTTGAGCCTCAAAATCCTCATGTAATGTGTCAATATCTTCACCACACATCCACACATAGTTGCAAGGTTCTAAAATCCATGATTTACGCTATAATTACCTGCAACATCGAGAATTCAACATTATTCATAATTTCGGCTAACTCTAAGTACTTAGATGCAAAGTTGAGTTAAAATGCATGTAATGAGGCTGTTAAATATGCAATATTTTGTGCTCATTAACAACCATCAACCCCAATAAAAGGTCTGCAACCTACCTTAAAACCATTTTTTAGTGCAACAAAAGAAATAAAGATTCTCTTGAACAATGGGTTATCACTCACAGATTTCTTGAAATAATCAAGTTTAATAACACTCCCAGGGTTACTCCTCCTTACTTCCCTAACATATGCTGGTAGTAATCCAAAAGATTTTCAATGATGACCCTCTATTTCTTCCATAGCCCTCTTTTTAGCCCTATATAACTGACTAGGGTTGGCCTCAATCTCCCACTTATCCTGCAACTCATATTGTAAAGTTTCTAAGGTCATTTCTAAAATTTTTAGCAATCCAAGTAGAGTTTGTTTCAGGCACCTTCCTATACTTAACACAATTGTGATCTTTATTGTAAGTCTATACTTTAAAAGTAGGCTTAACTGGTAAAGGAGATACATGAATCCTCCACTAGCAGCCCTCAACAGCGCACTCAACGATAACTCTAATCCTTTCATTTTTCTTCCTTATTACTTTTATCCCTGTCTTTATTATATAATCCTTCAATGCATTTCTAAACAAGTCAACATTTCCAAACAACATCCCCACACAAAAGTCCCAATCAGTGTTTCCATCTTTAGGAACATTAAACTCCACTCCAAATCTTGAAGTATCACTAACATTGCACTTTTTTTTCCTACCCCTTCTATGTGTTTCCTCCACTTCAGCCTCAAGTTCCTTAGAATCTGTACTACTGACATATCCTTCATCCCCTAATTGATAATCTGAAAACCCATTGTCACTGTTTTCATCAAATTGTGTGTTGATGGTATCATCATTGTACTCAAAACTAACATTGGGGGAATCATCACCATCAACTATCCAATCATCATTCTCAAAACTTAAACCATAAACATTGTTATCTTTTACATCATCAACATCATGCCTATTTGCATCCCTGTCATCATTTTCACCACCACCACCCATATGTTCATCCCCATTTACATAATTAACTTCAAGCAAATTTGCATCCTTGTCATCATTTTCAACATTAGGTTCATTGTCATCAACATTAGGCTCTTCACCTATTCCTACATTTGGAGGAGGTGGGAGTCTCACCTGAGACCCAACTTCAACATTCACAAATACAAATATCTCCTGACAATTTCTATACAAAGAAAACATTTCTTGTAACTATTCATCGCCATCAAGGACAAGTTTTCCACTACCATCTAGCCTATCAACTATAATAGCAATCATTACCTTCGATAAACTATCACCCATAAAAACATTGATAACTTATGCAACATCTGTTACCATATCCATACAACAATACCTATTAGGGTCGACCCTATTAATGGTGAAAATAGAGTTGTTAAAATGAACAATAATGTAATGCTCCTACTCTTCCATTTCTATAGAACCTTTAAATAGCCAAAAAATGAAAATAGATGTAAAAGGAGTGATGGACAACAATGTCTCTTACGATGAACAATAATGTCTCTTACTAGGTGACTAAAACATGAAGAAGAGATGTGCCAACATAATGAAAAATGAAAAAGAGATGTGCCAAAAAATGACAACATAATAAAAAATAAGGCTCACGATCAAATCTAAATGGGTAAATTACATGGACAAATCTAAATATGTGCCAAACCTGTGATGGATTGAAGAGTCAGAAGAAGATGCCTTAAACGAGATGCTTCGCAAAAGATTAAGAGCCAAGATACCTTAAACGAGATGCTTTGTACAAGATGAAGAGCCAAATCCAGACTTCGCCTTTTCTAGTTTAGGTTAAAGGTTTGTTTGATCTACATCCAAACATCATTAGAATGGCTTACAGATTTGGGTTTTTGAAACAGGTAAAAATGATGGGGATTAGGGTTAGGGTTTCTTTGATTCAAGCATGGTGATAGTGGTTTAGGGTTTGCATTTCTCTGATTTTGGAGTGGAGTATGCACGATTTGGGGTTGAATCAACGCATGAATTTGTCAAAGACGATTTGGGGTTGAATCCATTCTCTCTTCTGATTTGGGTTCTCTCTTGNCATTTCTCTGATTTTGGAGTGGAGTATGCACGATTTGGGGTTGAATCAACGCATGAATCTGTCAAAGACGATTTGGGGTTGAATCCATTCTCTCTTCTGATTTGGGTTCTCTCTTGCCTTCTCTCTAGATGTGACGAATGGTGTTTTGGTTCAGTACGAAGATATTTTACAAGGCTATTATATTCATTTTGATTTTGAACTGAATTATCAATTTTTTTTTGGTGATAACAAAATTAGGGTAAGATTGTCATTTTGCATTTTTTGTTAGCAATGTTTCGTTTCTAACATTGTTGGGGTTCGAGTGTCAATTGCCAAATGTCAGGGGGTGTTCATGTAATAAACTAAAAATTTAGGGGGGTGTCCGTGTAATTTACCCTTTTTAAAAAAAATAGTGTGTATGTTTGGTTTGTGTTCCAAAAATAATTTTTTGTTTTCAAACTTATAAAAATTAGAGAGATGCTAGTTGGTTAGAAATTTCCAAAAATAATTTTTTAAAAAAAGTTAAAATTGAGAACAAAAACTATAGATCATCTATGTGATGTTCTCTCAATTTTTAAGCCAAAATAAAAAGCATAGGAAACACTAGTTCCTCTTTAACGAGGTTCACGCTTCGAACTTCTTAAGCAACAAAGACCTCATATTTTTTTTTCTTTTGTCTTCTTCTACACTCTCTCATGTCTACTCTCACTCACTCTCTCTCACAACTCTCCCTCTCCCCCCTCTCTATCGTACCTAGCAAATATATCTATATCTATACTTATATTACTCAAATATCAACAAATTGGAAAAACTTTTGAATACCTTTATTGCCCTTAACAAATCATATATATACAATACTATCCACCACAAAATCAACATTGTAACCCAAAAGTCGGCTACTTAAGAACCACCCTAAAATAATTTAATTCTATAAATTGGTTTTTCTTTAATTTTCTAATCTTTTGTTTTCCCTCGTAACTAAATTTGGTACACATTTATCCCAGAAACCTTCAGTTAGTTTATACCATTTTTTTT